TATACATATACATGTACATATATGCATACATATATATGCATAAATATACATATACATACATATGCATACATATACATATATATACGCATAAATATACATATACATACATATATATACATATATATATGCATAAATATACATATACATACATATACATATATAAATAATTATATATACATACACACACATATATATATATATATATATATATATACACGCACATATATATATATATACACACACACATGCACATATATATACACACATACACATATACACACACACACACATACACATATATATATATATATATATATATATATATATATATATATACACACACACACACACATATATATATATATATACACACACACATATAGACACATATATGTGTGTGTGTGAACACACCCACAAATGTACAGATATTACAATATCCATCAGAAAGTCTTCTTTTATAATAGTAAGACATTAGTAGAAATGGTGTCTTCATCTAGGTGATGTCTTACCATTTTCTGGGAGGCATTTCTGCTGTAACCTGTATAACAATTAGAATGACTAATTATTAATTATGTTCAAACTATTGTCTACATCTTTCTAGTTATCATCAGGTTTTGCCCCATTGTGCCCCACTGGCTTTCATCAGTTTTATGTTGATCTGGAGTAGATTGTTCTCATTCCACTGGTCATTTCTATAAATATTTTGTTTATTTTTTTTTTCCACTAAGTCCATGTACACACTCTCCAGCCAAGTATATACTTAGATACAGTGGAACCAAGAAAAACAATAACTGACCAGTACTAAAAATAAGAACTAGACAAGATATCCCTAGACATGGGAAGTGGAATAAAAACAATCTATCTCCATAGATTAAGTTCAGTTTAGAACTTTCCTGTCGGTTACCTGGATGAACATATACCTGATGAAGACCTGAAAGTACAATGGCTGAAACATGACTACAACAACAAAAATGAGGACAATAGTTCGCATGTAAATAATGCTAACTCCTCATCCCAGAAGTTGAGACAGAAATTATGCCCTGTTTTTATTATATAATTTAGTTGTAACAGAAAAAATAGTCACCCAGTTAATGATAACCCTCTATTCTAGATATGTGTGTAAGTATTTTAGATAGTTTGAATTGGGTTAGCCAAAAGCTTGTCAGATTTATTAATAAGATTAAAAGATTTTTTATTTTTATTTTCAGCAGTAACGTCATAAAGCCATTTACCATTACATTCTACTATCTTGTACCATCTTTCAACCAATTTCATATTTCTATCTTCCCTGAACTTTTTATCTTTCCCAACAAAGAACAGCTATACTGGTGCCTTTTCAGGGTACTGACAATTTATTTCATTAAATGAATTCTGTAAAGACAAACTGTAATCCAGAAATACAATATCTAGGGAATAAAAGAGATCAATCAATATTTCCCAACAATTTTGATTTAATCACCAAATAAACAAGCAGTAGATCTTTATTCTGATAGAATATACATGGATGCCTTTTCTGTAATGATGAATGGGTATTCTCTCAGGAAGTCCTCATGCTTTGAGCACGTATTGAGACATAACCTCAACCCAGACCTTGTGGAACTCAAACATATGATCTATCACTAAAAATACTGGAAAATGGTCGGTTTCTGGTAGTGATCCAGTAAGTACCTGACTACACTACTCTGCTATCCCCTACCTTTACAAGAGCCAGATCAGGCCCAAAATCAAGTACTGCTGCTATATATGGGCAGGAGCTGACATGTCTTCACTTTCTTCTCTTGATAGAGTTCAAAAGCATCTCTGTGTCCTTGTGGGTGACAAAATATTTTCCAGCCTACAACTCCTTTCTCACAGAAGAAATATAAGCCTCATGCTACTCTATTGCTATTTCCATAGAAAGTTTTCAGAAGAATTACATTCTTTAGTTCCACCAGTTCTAACCTTCACAGCTAAGACTTGCCATGTTGCTCATATTGTAACAAACCACCCTTATTCCACTGGTGAGATACAAGTTCTACTCAAGCAGCTTCTTCCCATGAACAGCTACTTTATAGAGCCGACTCTCAAAAGGATGTTTTCCTGCTCACTAAAATTTTAACATGTTTAAATATAGAGTTAACTTCCCCACATTCTCCCTTTAAATTGTGCCTCTGTAAGCCTCTACCTTGAGTAGCTCTTGGGCCTTGTACAGGATGAAGATCATTGTATAAAAACAATCATGGTTATTTTTCCTTGATTACTGCCTTCTGTTAGTCCCATTGGGAGCAGAACTTGTTCAAATGAAATACTAAACCCTCTAGCAGGATCTTGTAATAGAGAACACTCTTACAATCTATTTTATTACACACTTTTATCTTTCTTAAAATAAAATTATAACATGCTTAAATTGCTTTTTTATTTTCCTCCCACTATATCTAGGAATCAATACACAAAAATGACAAATTCAACAATTTAAAAAGAATTAATCCTGATTGTCTCAACTGAAAGTTATCTTATTTTGTTAATGGATTTAGTCAAAGCTAAACACTAGACAAAGGTTTACTGAACTTATGGTCCTGGAGGAAGACAACTGACTTGAATATAATAGCTGATTTTAAAATTTTTTTTTTTCAGATCAACCATTTGCAAATTATTTAAAGGTAGAAAATATTTTTAGATTGTAAGAAATTTTTTTGATAATTTGTAATTTGCAAAAACGCTTTTAAGTAGGTGCCCAAGGGGGTCGTCAGTGATGTTTTTGACTTGGTTCATCAGGGAGTTTCAGGTCTTTCAACATCATACTCCCCATCACCAAATCGACCCAATCAGGGGAGATCAACCCCTGATTCCCCCTTCCAACTAAACGCTAACAGCCACTATGGCCTTTTTAAAGAATAATAAGAAGAAAGACCACATATTCTGCACATCTGATTGGATGTTTGCAACAATCAATCCGGTGCGCGAAATATCTTTTAAATGGTCCACGGTAGGTAATGGCTTCTTTTCTTATTTCGGTGGATTGAGGTTTCGATGGATAACCGAGGAGGTAATCTTTAATGTTCCTAAATCTTACCCTCTCCTTAAGTATTGTATGATTTAATTCTTTTGCTGTTTTATTTTATTTGTACTTTTTTTTTTTACTTTTGGCAGGATACTTAAATCAACCCTATTATCACATTTTATCATTTAGCCTGTTTCTCAACATTATTGCATGTTAACTTTTATTGATGTATTTCAAAAATTAAGATAATAATTGTCCATAAACATGGCATATATATATATATATATATATATATGATTATAACCAGTACATGCAAAAATGAAATTAAAAAATAAAATAAAATAAAATTGTCAGTTATCAGATAAGAATAATAATTTAATGATAATGAAGTCTTAAAATGGTTTATTAAAACCGAAATTATAATTTTAACCCATAGCAGGGGAGAAGAGAAATTAAAATAAAATAAAATAAAAGTACAGGATCTTATAATTATTCCCATAGCAGGGGGAGAAGGGTGGATTCATACCTTCATAAGGGTATTTGAATATAAGCTCAACTGGAAATTGGAATTTGGCTCTGATTAACGGCCATTATCCATTAAACCACATGCTTATCCAGGCTTAGAGCACCTGTTATACCTATGTGGTCACCCATGCAGGTATTAACCAGGCTTGATAATTTTTAAAGTTTGATGATCATACAGGAACTGTAAAACAGTTGACTAAGTGGAATTGATAAACACCCATAGAGTGCTGATAATTATGATGACAAAGACTGAATTCAAAGAAAACCTAATGATAACAACTAATAATTTGTAACAGAGAATCAGATCAGCCTGATAAAAGACTCCGAGTTGGTTGTATGTGGTGCTGTAAGCTGTTGAGAGAAGACCTTCTACTTAGAGTAGGTGGTGCTGACTATTTGCATATGAACGATACTGGGCAGGTATTAGCCAATAGTCAGCGTGAATATGAGACTGGGAGAGCTATATAACACTAGTGTTTTTCTCAGTCAAGAGAGTGGCTCTCTCAATGTGCAGATGTGTGAAAACCAGACAAGACAAACACATAATTTTAATGAGAAAACTATCATGCAACATTTGTTTTCAATAATAGTATTCAATCTAATTATAATTAACAATAGATAAAGTAGTAACTGTAGTTCCAATATGGTGATTCAATTGTTCAATGAAGTCTGAGGTGTTTTTATCATAATTAATATGAAGAAATTAAATGACTTGGGAGTAGAATCTAAATTATCATCATCATCAATGCCATGGCCAGGTGTTTTGTACCACAGAAATGCAAACAGTTTTCTTTTGTTCAAATAGATCCACCTAAAAGGAGTCTGGCCGTGAGACTTCCAAAGAATGGAAGGTCATTTTGGATGAATTGATAGCATTTTGATATTGTTAACAGTGGACAAATGAACATTTGAAAACCTACAGACTAGGTTCTGCATGGTCACACAGAACGAACACTTGCCAATTTGAGAATTTAAAAAAAATGTATCTATATCTGCAGAGGGAAAGACTTTTAAATGATCTTCATTAAACATGAAAAAAATTAAAGAGAAAAACAGATTGAGTGGAAGAAACATAGATGGTTGTAGAATGAAGGGCTCAGGCTGTGATAAATATATATGGAGAGGAAGAGACTGTGGTAGAAGAACGACAGACAGAGGGAAATAAAACATAACACATATATATAAGGGGAGAGTAAGAGAACAGACTAAGATGGATAGATAGAGAAACTGATTGAAATGGACAGAGAGCAAAAAATATATATATATATATATATATATATATATATATATAGAGAGAGAGAGAGAGAGAGATTGAAATGAACAGAGAAAAAGTGTATGAGACAGGAAAAATGAAATTAAATTGATATAAACAGAGAAATGCAAATTGTGTAAGAGAAACTGACTGAAATGGAGAGTGTGTGTATGTGAGAAAGAGAAACAAACTGAATGGGATGGAGAAGAACAAACTCTGGTGGACAGTATGGGGAACAAGAGACTAAGCTGGATAGAAAAAGAGAGGAACAAAATGAAATGAACAGAGAAAGAGAGGAACAATCTGAAATGGACAGAGAAAAAACAAACTGAAATAAATAGAGAGGATGTGAAAGGAACTAAGTGAAATAGAGAAAGAGTAGACAAATGTGAGAAATAGTAACAGACTGAAATCTTTAGAAAGAGAGGAACAAATCAACAGGATAGACAGAGACAGAAAGGAACAGAGTGAATGAGACAGAGAAGAACAGAGAGAATGAGACAGTGAGAAAGAGAGAAACAGATTGAATGGGACAGACACAGAGAGAGAAACAGATTGAATGGGACAGACACAGAGAGAGAAACAGATTGAATGGGACAGACACAGAGAGAGAAACTGACTGAATGGGACAGACACAGAGAGAGAAACTGACTGAATGGGACAGACACAGAGAGGAACAGATTGAATGGAACAGACAGAGAAAGGAACATAGTGAATGGGATAGAGAAAGAGAGTTAATGGGGTAGAGAGATAGGAACAGAGCGAATGGGGTAGAGAGATAGGAACAGAGCGAATGGGGTAGAGAGATAGGAACAGAGCGAATGGGGTAAAGAGATAGGAACAGAGCGAACTAGAAAAGAGCAAGGAATAGAGTGAACTGGATAAAGAGAAAAAGAGTGGATAGATAGAAAGAGGAAGAGTGGATAGATAGAGAGAGGAAGAGTGGATAGATAGAGAGAGGAAGAGTGGATAGATAGAGAGAGGAAGAGAGTGAAATGGATAGAGAAAGTAACAGAGTGAATTGGATGGAAAAAGAGAGAGGAACGGTGAACTGGACAGAGAGAAAGAAAGAGAGGAACAGTGAACTGGACAGAGAGAAAGAAAGAGAGGAACAGTGAACTGGACAGAGAGAAAGAAAGAGAGGAACAGTGAATTGGATAGAGAGAGAGAGAAGAATGGTGAACTGGACAGAGTGAGTGAGAGAGGTACAGTAAACTGGACAGAGATAGAGAGGGGAACAGAGTGAACTGGATAGAGAGAGACAGAGGAACAGAGTGAACTGGATAGAGAGAGGAACAGAGTGAACTGGATAGAGAGAGAGAGGAACAGAGTGAATTAGAGAGAGAGAGAAACAGAGTGAACTGGATAGAGAGAGAGAGAAACAGAGTGAACTGGATAGAGAGAGAGAGAGAGAGAGAGGAACAGAGTGAACTGGATAGAGAGAGAGAGAGAGGAACAGAGTGAATTGGATAGAGAGAGAGAGGAACAGGGGAAACTGGATAGATAGAGAGAGAAACAAAGTGAACTAGATAGAAACAGAGTATTTCACTCTGTTTCTATCTAGTTCACTTTGTTCAATAAAGATACAAAACACCGATAATGATAGACAAAAACAGATAAAAAAAAAAAAAAAAACATATTTATACTGGTATTTTAACAATATACAAAGGTAAGTAAACAGAAACATTTTCTCTCAAATAATTAAATGTCCAGACATTCTCACTGATCTTTTTTATTTTTGTCTTGAGATTTAATTTCATGATTATTTATTAAATTATTCACATTCTCTTCATTTTTTATTTATTCATTTATTGTTCTGTCTTTGGAAGATTTCCTTGAAGCAATGACAACTTTAACTTATCTTTGGTTCCTTATCATCTTGATGCTTCACAATTTATTAGCATTTGTAATCCTTTGTCTTTTATTCTATTCTTCTGGAATGTTTCCAGCATTCAGAAATTCTAAGAATCATCTTCTCCAACCAATAAGTAATAATAAGCATTAAGCTATTAAGTTTTGCACATCGACTGTATATGTTCAGATATATATGATAAATTCATATGCATTAAAAAAGTTATTCAGAGAAATATTCATATCATTAACTTAAAATTTCTTGTCCACAAAAGAGAGAAGATAACTGAATTGATTTGTTTATTCATAAAATACACATCAAAACTGAAAATGAAACTTTTAGAAATGAATGCAAATAAAACAAGTTATTTTTTATTCAGATAAATCAAGAGACAGATTTTTGGGGGGCTTGAAGATGAAGTTGTTATCATCATCATCAGTCTCATGTCTGGTTGTGGTCATAGGCTTGCAGCAAAGCTGAGCACTTGACCAGATTTCTCCATATGTCTCAGTTGGAGGCCAATACTTGAGTATCCATGAATTATCTTCCAGTCCACTCAGTGAAATTGTCAGATCATTTTTGAGTGATATTTAATCTCATGTCGCCTGTTTTTTTGTTTTCATGACAACCTGACCAATTCTTTCTCTAATTGTCCTTAATTAATTTGAAGAAATTAAATGACTTGGGAGTAGAAGCTAAATCATCATCATCAATGCCATGGCCAGGTGTTTTGTGCCACAAAAATGCAAACAACTTTCTTTTGTTCAAATAGATCCACCTAAAAGGAGTCTGACTGTGAGACTTCCAAAGAATGGAAGGTCATTTTGGATGAATTAATAGCATTTTGATATGTTAACAGTGGACAAATGAACATTTGAAAACCTACAGACTAGGTTCTGCATGGTCACACAAAACGAACACTTGCCAAGAACAACACACTATAAGAATAGCAGTAGCAGACTGCATGATAATCAAGTACCAGGAATCATTTGCAGCAAAATCAAGCCTTCTTAGTACCTAGATGAGTGAATGCTTGGAAATAGCAGGTGCTGTAAGCATGGATGTGCAGATAGTGTAATGGATAACAGCTCGGAATTGGAAATTTGAGAGCTGAATTCCATATCCAGTTTTTTTTTTATATTCACTACATGCAAATCCCCTTGGGAAAGATATGAATCCACTTCTTCTCCCTCCAGCTATGGGTTAATTAGTAGAACTTGTATCAGTAAATCATGTTGTCTCCCCCAAATTCTTACAACATAAAAATATTTTCTGGCTTTAAATAACTTGAAAAAGGTTGAATAACTGTAAAAAACAAATCTATCTACTATCACTTCCAGCAGTAGTAAGACTCTACATGTTTCTAGCCTGACTTTCATTTATACCACATCATTGTGCATGCCTCTTTAGATGCTATGAAAGGGTTATCCCAGGAATAGAATTGTGTTCAGTGATTGCAACAAATCTACCTTTATGTAATTTATGTTACATAAAGGTTCAGTACTCTTTTCTTTGTTTGCAATGAAATTTTCTTATTTCTTAATACTTTGCTTAGCATCTTTTGCTATTCCAATGCATCTTTGGATTTCAGTACCACACTTTCTGTCCTCTGTCAGAATGATTCTCAAAGATTTAAATTTTTGTACTCAAGTTTGTAATTTGCATGCTGGGGTGTTTCTGACCATATATTCTTTCATCTTTCAATTGAAGGTTAGTCCTTTCTTCTTGCTTTCCTTTACTACTTTATGTAGTTCCTGCAGTTTCCTTTCTGTGTCTGCTATCAACACTGTACCATTTGCATATCTCATATTGTGTAAACATTTTAGATAGAGTATATCTGTCAAAGGACAATATGAAAAAAGCCAAAAGGAAAGCTTATCTTAGCCGACATATTTTATCCTCTTTATCAGGTTTTCCTTTTGTCTTTTTTTATATCTTATATTAAGATTGTGGCCACCAATAATGAATCCTTGTAAAACTTCTAATTCTCTCAGGGTTTCTTCACTGTAGAGGTTGAATAAGTCCAGTGAGAAGACACATCTTTTTCTTACACCCCTTTCTATTTTTGTATATTTACTGAATTCATTTTCTATCTGTATGCAGGGGGTTCCACTCCCAGTATAAGTTTGGGATTATTCTAATATCCTTCCCAAATATGCCACAGTTACCTAGCAATTCCAATAGTTTTTGATGATGCACTTTAACAAATGCTTTTGGATATGATTCTACCAAATTAATTTAAAATCTCAAGAACGAGATGTAACGATATCAATGTGGAAAAATTCAAATTTCAAGTTAATCTGTTGTGTTCACTTTCACATTAATTCCTTTAAGAAAATCATGAATCCATCTCTTCTCTCCCCAGCTATGTGTTAAATATCAATGTAGACTTTTCTACTAGTTGCGTCTATAAGAAAATATCTATAGAAGTAACCATTTTTCTCTTAAGCCTTTTAAAATTGGCTTTTTTATTTCATTCACATCATCAGTGTTAGAATATGAGCAAAAATACTAAGGAGAGAAAACAATAAAAGAACAATAATTATGAAGGCAGGAGATAACAAATGAAATTACATTTAAATTCTTGAAGATCAAAGTTGACTGAGAAGCAAGAAGCTGGAATAGAGTTCCATAAGTGTCATAGAAGAAACTGTTAGCATAGAACTTACAATTATATCTATTCATTTCACCTGTAAAAGAATGAAACCTTACCACCAATCTAATACAGTACATAAATTAATACAGTATAGATACCATCAAGGAAAGTTCATGAGAATATTTACCATCAAGGAAAGTTCATGAGAATATTTACCATCAAGGAAAGTTCATGAGAATATTTACCATGAAAGTAATCTATAGAAAAAGCAGTTGGAAAGTGATTGAAGCCAAGATTCTATGTCAGGACCAATAATATTGCAAATTCTTCTTTGTATTTTAAGAATCTCTAAATGTATAGCAGGAGCACCAGACCAGATGTGACAACAATATCCAATATTAAAAGGTTAAAAAGAAAAAAGGGTTACTTTTATATATATTTTCTTATAGACAGAATTAGTAGATAAATAAAAATAAAGATTAGGACAGCTTTGCATTTTAGTGGCTTTATTGCCTTGCTTGGGGTAAAACAATAAAAAAAAATCAAATGAAACTTTTATCATTATAATAAACCAAGACAAATATGAGAAAAATGATTCTAACAAGATATTTGAATAGATTTAAAAACCTGAAATGATAATTAAAAATGCAGCTCTCTTGATATGTAAACATTGATCTTTTTAATCAGTTCACTAAAAGGAAAGCAATAAAGCCATTAAGATACAAGGGGTTACTGAGGGTGAAAGACAAGGGGTTACTTGAGGGTGAAAGAAAATAAAAGACAATAGAATGAAGAAAAAATATCAGATCTTAAAATGCCAGTTTCACTATAAAGCTTCAAAATATTTAATGCTGGACACTTAAAAATGTTGGACTTTAACATTTGCAACTTGGACTACTATGTTAATATAAATGACACATTAAAAATTAGTCATGTTTTTTTATGTGTGTGTGTCTGTGTATTTTATTGTAAGGCGGTACTAATCTTAATTTTTATTTATCTACTAGTTGTGTCTATAAGAAAATATCTATAAAAGTAACCCTTTTTTCTCTTTAGCCTTTTAAAATTGGCTCTTTTATTTCATTCACATTCATCATTGAAAGAAAAAAATTAGAAAAAATGAAAGTTAGCACAAAAAATGAAAATAAAGAAAATTACAAACTGTCCCAATTTGCTCGAGTGTAAAATTCATCGTCTCACTTCAGAGAAAACTTTATCCGCTATGTCACATTTAAGAGGCAATAGATAAATCTGTAGGCACAATCTGCATTGAGAATAATCACTTCTTGTCAACTTTTGATGCTCTGATGATTCTACTGGCAGGATATTCTTTCATTTTTCTTTTTATTTATTCATTTATTGATGCATTTACTTACATATTTGTTTATATTACTTCTTTTTTCTATTTACATTTGTTAATTTCTTTGTAGATATTTTATTCATTTATTAAATTTGTTTTATGAATGTAAGTATATGCACACATATGTATAACTTATAGTTTTGGCTATTGTCTGTATTTATTCATGTGACGATTAATTCAGTTTTTTTATTTTGCATTTTCTATTATTATTCTTTATTCTTAATTATTTTTATTTATCATTTTTTTATCTGTTTGTTTTAATTTTCTTTTCCTGTTTTATCCTTTTCATCTTTTCTATTTATCTTCATACAGATTTACATTCATGTTTTTTTATTCGCTACTTTTCAACCAGTTTTTTTAAATGCTTATTTTTTTTTTTATACAATTTTATCAATTTTCAGTCATTTTGGTTATTTTTCATTTTCTTTTTCCCCCATTTTATTTGGCACTGGCTTCTAGGTTTCATTATTTTTTGTTATATTTGGCTTTGTATATTTGAGTGAAAACAAACAAAATGATGCATTGATTTTAAGAAAAGAATGTGTACAAATGATTAATTATGAAAGAAAATTCCAAGAGAAACTGCATTTTGTTCTTCATTTTTATCTTCTGTATCACTGTCCATGTTTCTTTTAAATTCATGTGTTTTTTTTTTAAATTTTCATTGTAAGTTTATATATCTGTATTTAATGGTGTGCATTTTGCCAAATGGTCAGAGCATTAGTGTTCTAATCATGAGACTTGTGTTCAACTTTCACTGTGGGTGATTTTTCGGTATTACTATTGGTCTGGGGAGACAATTCCAGCATATTTGGAAGTGCTATAAAATCACACCATTGCTTGACCCAAGACTTGTGAGTGAAACTAGGAAGATGGAATTGTTCAAAATCATGTTAACATAAAGTCACAAGTCATGGAGGCTCGGTGTTTGAGTGTAACAACCTTGTTAAAAATAGATTATGTGCTCTCGACCAGAAACCAGTTCTGCTCAGCATAGTTGCAATATAAACTACACATTGACTCTGTAGCTGGTGAAGATACACAAATGTGACTGAGCAAGCTTTTGCAACAGGGATTAGCTCACCGCCTGAATAGATGGCCATGCTAAGGAACGAGAAGCCAGCTGTTATTTAATGCAACTTTCTAAGAAATAATTTGTTTATCTGTCTTATAAGCATTTTTTTTTTATTGATATGCTACATGCCACAGAAATTTTCCTTGAATAATATTTTAACATTTTGAATATTATTTTAATTCATTTTTTTTTCTATATCTAATTGCTGCTCTTATACAGTACTAGGGAGAGAATGTTTTGTAAAGAAACCCCCCTCTCAGCAAACCCCTAAAGGTGTTTTTTGAGGCCTCTCTGGAATATTGATGGTTTTACAAGTATAATATAAATGGTAAAAACCACAGTAAATATTGGATAAAAATGAACGAAATTGGAAGAATAATTCTTTTTTCTGTAGTTTGGATTCAAACCATATTTATACCAATATGGCTTCTGAAAAACTGTTTTTGTGCATCTTATTTGTTTCCAGAGATCAACAGATGCATATTGATATTCTTCTATTATGTGTCATCTGCCATCAGGACATTGTCACTCATGTCTTCAAAGGTGCATTGGAATAGTGAAAGATGCCTTCTAAAAGCTAAACAAAGTATGAAGAAAACTGCAGGGTATATATAGAATCACAAAGTCATTTCAGTTTGATGGATTCATTTCAAGACATGTTTGTGTATATCTACAGAGAGAGTCTGGAAATGAAAACATCAAACATGTGTCATTGAGAATCCTTTTATCCTCTAAGCTTGTATGAAAGTTCTAAAAATTTCTATCAAAGGTTAGGCAAGTGTAAATCATGACTTCAATGACTGACATAGCTTTTTTGTTTCAACATATGCAAGGGTAAAAATTCAACATGGCTTCATTGC